GTGACTTATTATAAACCGACTCAAGTTAGAGTTGCAACATCGGTGAACACAACCGCATTGGAAATCGCTTTTGGCACTACTTTTTGAATGCATCCACCTGCTGATACCGCAGCCAGCCTTAGCAATAGAAAGACTTCCGTCTCATTGTTTCAGGATTTGACCATCTCGTACCGTGCTTCCACGTTATCCCGGACCATTGGCAAGTAGCAATCGTCTCTGCAGCCGATTTAGATTCACTTCTCCCGTGCCTGATCGATGACCAGTTTCACTCTTTCGTCAACTTCATTCCAAAAATCTTGCTTCCCAAAATTTAACGACGGGTGCTTTGAATCGATAGTGTGAGCTCGTTTCAGCGATTGAAACATCAACAGAAGCTTGCTGCAGAGGCTGTAAATTTTGAATGCCATCAGATGCGTTTCAATGTTATCTTTATTGAGCAGCCTCAAGAACTTGAACTTTCGGTCGGGCCAGTTTGTCCGGTATGAGCATGTCCTACTGGAGTACCTCTGGAGCATCGTCTTTTGGTTCGGATTCAACTGCTAGTTCTGTTGTTGCTTCAAAACAAAGCATTTGAACTGTCAAATAAACCATGTTGCCAAACATGCCATTATTCACAAGCAAACAATGACTGGCACTGCCGGCACTGTTGCGGCATACTGAGATAAAAGTTAGCGCGAAATGAGTGTGAAGAGTATCCACCCCTTGCTTCTAATAAAAAATCAGCCCGGAAAAGCTAACATTTTGAAGTAGGACTACGTCTGTAATTTCTATATGGATCGATCGATACCGAAAATTTGAACCAACGCAACTTTCCTGATTCACTCAATGGCAGACGTCAAATGATAGAACCCACCGTTAAGTTTTTTTTAAACTTAATTTTTAGTATTTTTTTATTATCGTATGGGATGAAGTTGACCATGTAGATTTTATGCAATGCAATATTCAAAAATTAGCATTTATACTTGATTTGTGTTCGATGAAGAAGAATCTGCTTTCGCCGGTGGTGTAGTGGTTATCGTGACTGCTTTCTATAACCCCGATGGGTCTGAGTTCAATCCCAGCCGAGGTCGGTGGGATTTTTCTGAGGCATAAAAATCTCTGGTCACGTCTTCCTTCGGAAGGGAAGTAAAGCCGTTGGTCCCGGCCCATGTGTGTTGTGAATGGGTGCGATATCCTACGCAGGTGTGGAAGCTGCCTTCCTGCACATTCGATTGCCGTCAATGGATGGCAATCGATGTCCGTCGGTGATTGGCACTAGATTGCGGAACAGAGACCGACGTTAAATAAAGGAAATAAGAAGAAGAATCTGGTGGTTACATTTCAACAAAAGTTGTGGTTTACGAAAAGCAACATATTTTGTTGCAACTTACATTAAAATACGCGTAAATGTACACCGTTTGAAAAATTCATGTAAATTTCTGTGAGATATAGCGTACATAAAATTAACGCTAGATTTGGCTTTTTGTTCCTGCCATGTGCATTTTGTGTTCGTACCGTGCGCACGGCTATTAGTTACCGGCGCATTTTCTTTGACAATGAAAACCGAGATGACAACTTGATCAGCAGGAAGTTAAACTCGATTGACTTAGACAAGGTAGAATCTTCATTAGTCGATCAAATAATCGATTTCTTTATTCGCTTTCTACCGCGATCTGAGCGATGGATTTGCAATATTGATACATGCAATAAACAGTTCAAGGTTTGAGCTTATGATTGCGTGAGTCAATATTGCAAATCCATCGCGGTTGTGATAGAAACCGAAGAAATTTAATTAATTTTTTGATCGAAAAATGGAGATAGGACTTATTCTAAAATCAATCTAGCTATCACGTCCATATAGAGCTTTTTGACGTTTAAACGGCGCACACTAATGCATCATTTAAACTGAATGAGGGTGAGCAAGAGAGAAACAGATTAGTGGGAAAATAAACCAACCGTTCATCCCTGTGTGCTGGATAGAGAAATGTCAAAAAGGTCTATACCACACTAATAAAAACAACCTCAGCTCCTCGGCATTTTTTCTCTTTGTTCTTTTGTAGTTCTACCAAAATAGGATCGCTTAGAAGATAAGATGAGCATCCAGTTATCTTCTTAAGCTTTTTAAGCTCCTCGTGAAGGTGGGTTACTATGGTTCTGGTTTTGCACATTATTTTTTTAGTCTTCCTCAATTCTTGCTTCAACTTGAGATTTTGCTTTTACAATTCCACATTTTTTTCCGCCATAAGTACGTAAGGGTCTGCCAGATAAGTATGATCGTGCTCAGTGCTGTTCATTGTTTTATTCTGGTTGATTCTGCGCTCCTGAACAGGAGTCTCAGTTGTTTCTGCGATTACAACTTCTCCGGCGATCTCTACATTTTCTCCATCGATATCAGGAACTTCACGAGTGTTCACATCAAGAATCGTGCCCTCTATTCCTGCATTAGAAGCATTTCTAAATGGATATGAAGGAAATTGTGTTGTTCGGAGTCTATAAGAGAATATTTTTAGGACATGTATTTTTTGTTTTAATCGTTTGATAGCGTTTCCAACTTAATACCCTTGGCTCTTAATAAGAACATTTGCAAAATCCTCATCGCAGAAATGATCAGAACATATGAAGCTTTTGGAAGAAAACTGTTTTACGTCACAAAATGATTTCCATGCATCCAAATCTTTCGTGTTGCTGGAAGAAACAAAATCTTCAAAACGCATTCATTATGTAAAAGAAACCAAAGTGTACCTGTTTTTCAATAATATAAAAAAAAAAAAGATTTCGAGCATGGTCCCGTTGAAACACCTTTTCATTCGCGTACTTCACACCTTTTGTAGACCATTTTAACCGGAGTGTTTTCAAATATATCAATAAATAATTACTTGTTTGGTAAGTTGACAGCTGGCAGTTCATCGTACATGTAAAATGCGCACGCTTGCCGTTGGCTTTCATAAGTGAAAGAGGCGCTGTTTCAGTGATGCAAAGTTCCCTTCGAAATGAGCTCTCTATTATAATTATTTCTCTAAGCCGTTAGTTAGGGCAAACCTGAGTGATGCGGAGAAACACGAAATGGTTGTCAAAAAAAAAAATCAACTGGTGCTGTCAAAGAGAATCCAACGATCGACAGCTGCTAAAAGTGTTACTGTTCTTAAACAATCTCAGTCGGCCGAGAAAGTATTGTGGACAATGTTAAAAATATTGTCATTTAATTCATCGAAAAAGTCTTTATAACGCTCTTTGTTCAATAAAAAAAAAATTCAATTTACACTTTGGTATTAACAGTACATAATATTTATTAACCACTAGTGCTTCGACTATCGTGTTTAGTTTTTAACATTTTCCATACTTTTTCCGCGTTTAATCTGTGTTGTATCAATGATTTTATAAGAAGTTCTTCAATTCATGGCAGTTTGGTAACATTACTGGGAAAGAAACAGAAAGCAGGTAAGTTTAAAACTCTTTTCCTGATTGTTGGAATGGCATTATTGCGTTTCACCAGATTCCCCTGCGGATTGTATTGAAACGATGTTCTTTTATCAAAATGGTCCTGCGGAAATAAAAATATCATAAACCGAGCTTTTAACATAAACCGAGCTTTTAACGATCGTCCTTACTGGTTTTCGAACAGCCCTTTACAGAACAGCGCATTTTTTACCAATATTCTAAACCAAAAAACTTGCTCAAACACTCGAAAGTAAACAATACAACGAACGAACGAACCTGAACGACCTGCACTTCCAACAGAATTAAGTGAATTTTGTTACAAACAAAGAACAATGAATTATCGGCTCCGTAAAGCTAACGCGATTGAGCCTTAAAAATAAACGAACTAGATAAAAAAACAATCATACATCAGCTTGAATTACATTGATCGATATTTCTTTTTTTTGCTGTGTACACTCAACTTAGCTGAAAATGAAGACAACCTTATCAGGTAGACCAACTCCTGCATGGATTTGAATTTTGACATAAAAGCATTCTTGATCAAGGCAACCACTGAGTATCAAGTCAACATTTGCTTTTTTCTTGATTCGTGGTTGGATGTTCATTATCGCCTCTGTTGTTGTCAATATTAATATTCGTCTTCATCGTGGTGGGGATGATTTTGAGGATCAAATCCAAAATGATTTTTTTTCATTTTACACTGAAGAACGTGTCGTGTTTGTTTTTACAAACAGATCGATGGCAACTTATTATATCTAGGGTTTAGGCTATGGGGTCAACAATATTCAAACTAATCATTTTGCTCAAAATGAAGTTGATTATTTTGCCTTTGGGGATCGATTCTGATTTTGAAAATTTTGGGTTGGATAATCAAGCACTGATGACTATCAGCAAACGCGTATTCGTTGATGAATAATGAACTCATTTGTTCATTTCGCTCGTACGTAACAGCGAAGATTTTCAAAACAAATGCAATTCATCTACACTGCGCTACTCCTTGCTTGTGATGGTACATTATAAAAACAGACACTGGTAAAGGGCTACGGAGGTAAATTTAGGAAATTTGTATAGGATTACTATTATTATTATTTAGCTTTATTAAGGAGGCTTTCAGCCTTGGGCTGGTTCGGCTCCAAATTTGTATAGGAAAAGTGGTTGAAGTATCCTGGATTTCCAGTTCCAGGACAATATCGAGTTAGGGAGAGATCGAGTAAGAGGACTGTATGAAAAGTGCAGAAGTGGACTTCCATTCAGCAATCAAGACAATTAATATTTGCTAGACCATTATATCAGGATCAGAAAAGTTTCCAAACAATAACTCAATAATTACGCGATCGATAAACTGTAAGATGTGCACTAGAAAAAATCGTAACACGTCAGTCCAACTAGACTGCTGGCTGTTCATCACTTTGTTTTCCTTTATTGTTCACTATTTCAAGGTTGAAGACACGACTCGTTCCGAAACGCACGTATCTACCGTTTATTTACTACACCCAGCGAGTAGTGTAAGTCACGTTTACTACCGTCCACTATCAGACGATAACATTGCATTTGCCGTTAGCGGTTGCAGTTTTATACCTTACTTGAACCATAAATGCGAGTACCGTTTTAGCCAAATACAACTTGCCCGCAAGTTCATGAACCAGATTGGCTAATCTCGTTCGCACAGAAGGTTGTTTGATTGGTTGGTCGCGTAATGTTATGCATGTAGCTAATCCATCATGCGTTTTGAGTCACCTCGGATAAAAACACACCTGTTGCAAGCCAGAGAAGGAGGGAACAATCACCTCGATAGATGTCATTCAACCTGTCCGCCTGCAACCCAGCTACTAGCAGCGTACACTACACTAGATATGACGAGACGAGACGAGAGCGGTCAATGCGAATTCGTTGGCAAGTTTCTTATATGAGCAGTGCCAATTTGGCAGTGAAACGAGTCAAACTTGAAATTAGATCAACGCGCACTTTCTATCAATTGAGCAACCGAAATTCACCCTTTTCGAGCCCAAGCTAAAGTTATCAGCGCACTTTTGACCAGCCAACCAGTCACCAACCAGGGCAGCGCAGCGTCGTTATTCTGGGTCAGTAGAACACGGCAATCAAGCTTCGCTCCAGATACCAGTACACTACGAATCCACAAACTGTGTGGGGAGCGTCTTCTTACTATACTGAACGGAGGCGGGAAAAAGAAGTCAAGTATCAAGTGCAAACCCTCCGTCCGAACACGGCAATCAAGCTTCGCTCCAGATACCAGTACACTACGAATCCACAAACTGTGTGGGGAGCGTCTTCTTACTATACTGAACGGAGGCGGGAAAAAGAAGTCAAGTATCAAGTGCAAACCCTCCGTCCGAGCACAATGCCTTCGATTACGACGGTTCGGTCACTATAGGGTAGGTTCGCGCTTTACTCAGTGCCTAGAGCAGCTCTTATATTATCCCGCGCTAGAGAGAGAGCACGCAAGTACCTAAATACTTGCAAACACCGACGACCGCTGAACACAAACTGATTCCACTTGAGCCGTTTAATGCTAGGAAAGACACACGCGCGCCGCGAAACATTCAACGGCTCGACGGGCGCAATCTTAGTGCCTAGTAGCAGCGCCGGGGCAGTATTTAATAAGTAGCTCTCACTCCCAGCCAACAGTCTCTCGTGCATTTACAGCACGCCGTTCAAGTAGACTTTGCGAGGTAGTTAGGTGGGTAGTCGTTCGTTATCTGTGGCGTCGCCGTCTCTCCGCGCTTGAGCGATTCCGATGCGCGAACATGTGCTCTCCGCCGCTGTTATCAACGATTGCCGGTGGATTTCGAAAGTGTCAACGACTTGAGCCCCTTGACTAAGCTTGGAAGGCGTTCGTCGCGTTAATATCCATTTTAGTGTTGCTATGATGCAATCCCTTGGACAAGTAGAGGATCTTATTGTATTAATATAATCGATTACCGGATTGTTATAGCAATAAATCAGAGGATTCTTTCTTAAAAGGGTGTTATTGTATTTCTACAAATTTAAATTAAGAATTGACATTTCAAATGATTAATGGAATCAACATTACTGACACAGGCGATCATATTCTATTAAGTCCAGGAATCGATAAATTCAGAAGAAAGCCAGTTATTTCGGAACACACTGAAATAAATAAGAGCTAAAATCAACATCATTAATCTAGTCGCTTTCAAAGTTACATCCAGTTGCAGTTAGTCAAAGTCTGTGTATTTTGCTTGGTAGGTGAGTACAATCAGACTATTCTGCGCGGCGTGTGAGGTGAGGACAGTGCAATGATTGTGAAGTGACAATTTCGGAGAACTTCGAGATTAGGGCGTAATTGCTTTTGTAAACAAACACGTCATTTGCCGATTTTCACGAATTAAAGCTCAATCTCAAAAACTAACTACACAAACAGTGATTCCTCTATCATTAGGTATAGTTTGTTTGCGAGATTGTTCTTTTATTCACGAGAAATCGGCGATTTACGTGTTTATTTACAAAAGCAATTACGCCCAAATCTCAGTTCTCCGGAACAGTCACTTCACCTCACACGTCGCGTAAAATAGGCCTAACCTCAATGATACATACAGTCAACTTTTCATTTCTCGATATTGCCAATTCAGAGCAGCATTTGGCGTCAGATTATCAGCTTTAGTAGCATGCTGTGGCTGTCAGTTGCGTCGAATTGCTTTCCCTGAAACGGCAATATTGAAATCGAGATAGGGAGAGATCGACATACAGAACAGTATTTTATCAGCCTACTAGTACGATTCTGGCAGCACTTTGGGTTCAAACAGTGTATTTGTTTATCCCGTATCCTTAGTAAAACTCGCTTACTGGTGATTTTTCCATCGACATATGGAGAGTAATTTGTTCCCGAATATTAGGTACCATTGACATGGAGAAAGATCGAGATAGAGAGAATATCGAGATGAGAGCTGGATGTATGGAAATCTGAAGGGACTGCCCAAATGGTCGAGATACAGATAAATATCGAGATATAGATCTTCGAGAAATGGAGAGTTGACTGCATCTCTATGCCCAGGGAAGTCGTGAAAACCAATCCGAGAAGATCTTCAGCCTGACCGAGAATGACCATGTGGTTTTAATGTCGGAAGATTCAACAGTAATAACACCGATTTGCATCCGAAAGGAGTAAACAAACTTTTCTATTACCGGTTGAAACCGGAATCTTCCTACGCTGCGTTTTCGCTAGACACGCATCGAAGCTCTATCAATGAATGGTTCGATTGGCTTGACATTGGCACGATCACAGCGCGTTGCTGTGGAATGATGATGATTGAGTGTTTTCACCGTTTGTTTTCGGAAATCACTAAAGTGACTCATGATATGTCGGACTGTTTCGAAAGCATTAAAGCATTGTGATTCGGGTTAAGGTTGAAAAACATATTATTCTCAACTTTGGTCTGAACACCGTGTTGACTAATAGCAACCAAGGTTGCAAAGACTCATTTCAGCTAAAATAATGTTTTTCGGAACAATAAAACCAAAAGATGGTATGATGGCATGTTTTACTTGTAACTTACAAGAAGAGGTTACAAAGTATGCGTTGGAAACATAAAACCTGTAAATTTTGATTTCTATGAGTCACAATCCCCGATTTGCTGATCGCTGAGTGAGTGAGTGAGTGAGTGAGTGAGTTTGTGAAAAATCGCTGATTGTGACTCTCATGAAGTGAAATAAACAGGTTTAATATGTCAAACACATTCTTTGCAACCTCTTCTTGTATCCTACCAATTCAAAATTTGATCATGGCATCTAATTATTTCATAATTTAGAAAAACATTGTTTTAGCTGAAATGAGTCTTTGCAACCTTGATAGCAACATGCTCAGACGCATACGAGACAGCCGTGGTAAAATCTGGATCAGTGGAGAATTTGTTGTCAATTTGCTAACTCCTGTTACGTAGAACGTAGAACGTAGGATCATAGTTTTGGGGCATCTAGTTTCATAATCTGAGTGGTTTAAAATATTTCATCGGTGAAAATTAATTTTTTCCATTGATTTTGTTTTCTTACTTAGCTTAAGAAATACATTTTGATTTTTCTAAAAATATTTAAATGATATTATAGGGTAAAATAAAGACTTCGGCAATACCTTATTCTATTATCGTCAATGTCGCAAGATCCTTGAGAGCTCAATTTTGGCATGTGGATTCATTGTGTTTCAGAGCCTCTATTGGCCAAATTTGAGTGGTCGAGGACTTTGTGTAACCCCTGACAATAATAGGTTAAGGCTATGCACTTCCACCTTGAATTTTCTATTACACAAAATCTCGGAAATTAGTGCCCCATTTCACCTGAAATTGCTACTGCATGTATGCTGTAGCGCAGCAAACGTGGAGTAACAGTTTAATTGTAGCACGTGTCGTGGAAGCAGAAATTTGTGCACTAAAAGTTTCGAAGTGGTAGCGAGAACAAGGATGAGAACCTTCAAGAAGTTCAAAACATTAATGATAGCCTAGAGAACACCAAGGAAGTTTAGAGAGCAAAAACTACAAGGGACAGCCCTTTGGGGTTGTACACAAGGGTGACGTAGGACTACGTGGTCTTATATAATACATCTTATTTGCTATTGCAGCAGTAGCTTGTGTTTTTGGTAGGAATAGGAATTTGAGCGAGGTTCTCTCTGTTCATATTCTTTAGTATGACGCGCTTGACATATATGGCCCACAGCGACTCACAAAGAGGTACTGATTCCGATCAATAGCGGTGCGGCTTCTTCCTCCTTCTATGGATGCTCATGTGGGCTGCAGCCCGCTGCTTGCAGGCAACCTTTCGTGGTGTACTGGAGAACACCACCACTCACCACGCGGTGATTGAATAAACACCGTTTGGTGAGAACTCAACTTTGAAATCTGTGTTAGGGAAAGCGCTTTTCGCAGGCAATCGGTGGTAATTTTAATTATCATAGCAACAGTTGAACATTCCTGCAATTTCAAATACTGACATTTTGAAAAAAATGATAGTCTTAATTTTAACAGATTCTGCAGATAGAGCTGGAATTAGGCGTAACAGCTTTTGTAAACAATGACTTCTCTCGATGATTTTTATAAATTCAAGGCACGCCCACGCAAACCAACATTACCATCGGGTAGGGGAAGTCTTACTCTACCTGATGTTGAATTGCGTGGGCGAGCCTTGACTTTCAAGACATTATCGAAAGAAGTCATTGCTTACAAAAGCTGTTACGCCCTAATTCCAGCTCTATCTTGATATGTGAACTGACATCCGATTGATGACCTTGTCAAATGTCCAAAAATTCTCTTTTACAAATTTATGGTTGTCCTGAAAATGACCGTTTGTCGTGATGGTTGAGTAATGCTGACCTATTAGGGTATTAAACACGCATGAGGCTGGCGAGCTGTATGTTGTTTGGAATGAGGGTGATGCGCTTGGCAGTGACTCACGAAAAGCTACTGATTCCGATCAATAGCGATGCGGCTTCTTCCTCCTTCTATGGATGCTCATGTGGGCTGCAGCTCGCTGTGTACTGGAGAACAATGTTCAACGCCACGCGCCGAAAGCACTGCTGCTGCTGCTGATGATGATGATGCTGACGACCGGACACCACCACACACGGTGATTGAAACTGAATCCGATCAGCGGTTTAGACCAACCTTGATAGCTAGCTGCTTGTAAGAAGGTTACAAGTATAAAAAAAAAAACAAAAAAGTTAAAATACAGTCCTAAACAACCCCATTAAAATTACTATTTTCACACGAGCGAATCGCGTTCCTAGTCTCTGGACTCGAACCGGTCAGAAACGTCAGATGAGGAATGCCGAATGACGACATGCAGGTAGAGTTTATGCCACCGGAAAAACTCTTCCGAGTGTATATCTAGATAGAGCTGGAATTAGGGCGAAACAGCTTTTGTAAACAATGACTTCTATCGATGATTTCTAGGAACTCAAGGCACGCCCACGCAGACCAACATATCCATCGGATAGGGGAAGTCTTTCCCCACCTGATGAGGATGTTGGTTTGCGTGGTTGAGCCTTGAATTTCTAGGAATCATCGATAGAAGTCATTGTTTACAAAAGCGGTTAGGCCCTAATTCCAGCTCTATCTAGATATAATGGAACACGAATTCTGACATGATAAACTTCGGTTCGATACTGGGTTGTAAAAGTACACGGCTGGCCAATTGGATTCTATCTGATCTCAACTGCGTTACCAATCACACGGCCAAAGATAGTTCATCTAGTGAAG